TCATTGGAACATCACTCTCCAAGCTGCCCATCTGCCAGGAACTTTGAACCAACAAGCGGATTTCCTGAGCAGAGGGGGAGCATCGGACCACGAATGGGAGTTGAACTCAAAGTATCTCCTTCCTCTTTTTCAACATCTGGGACATCCCCACATCGATGTTTTTGCAACTCGATTGAACAAGAAGTGTCCCAGGTTTTGCTCCAGAGCGGGGTTGGACCCTCTGTCAATGGGGGACGGTCTGTTGATGTCGTGGGCTCACGACTTTCTATACCTATTTCCTCCGATTCCGCTGCTCCACAGGGTGCTTGTGAAAATACAACAGGACAAGCCCCATTGTCTCCTGGTAGCCCCCTGGTGGCCTCGGCAGGTGTGGTTTCCGACACTGCTGCGGTTAGCCAAGGGATCCTTCGTACACTTCCCGCAGGAGTTGGATCTCCTCCAAGCTCAGGAAGGCCAGGTCCTTCACTACGATCCTCTGAGTCTCAAGTTGACTCTATGGGAAATACGCTTTCAGTGATGGATGACCGTATCAATGAGGTCCTGTTGAATTGTCGTAAACTGTCTACTAGGACGTCTTACGCAAAGAAGTGGGATTTATTCCTACAGTACTTGAGTTCTTCCAATTTACCTCCTCCGCCAGTGGATTTGAGGTCTATTTTTGCGTTTATTTTGTCCAGAATGGACTTGGGACTCAGTTTTTCTTCAGTTAAGGTGTATTTAGCTGCGGTGTCAGCTTTTCATCCATCTATTGATGGGTTTTCAGTTTTCTCGCATCCTCAGACGAAACAGTTTTGTAAAGGTCTTATTCGCCTGTACCCTCCCCGTCGTTCTCCGACTCCGGCCTGGGATTTGGCTTTAGTTTTGCGGTTTTTGATGGGAAAACCCTTCGAACCACTGGCCACTTGCTCTCTAAAGTTGTTATCGCTCAAGACTGCGTTTCTGGTGGCCATTACTTCTGCTCGTCGAGTCAGTGAGTTGTCCGCTTTAAGGTGTGATCCACCATACTTGATTTTTTCCCCTCATGGGGTGTCGTTGTCTTTGGACATCTCCTTCTTACCGAAAGTCGTTTCGGAGTTTCATCTACGTTCAGATATAGTTTTGCCGTCATTTTTCCCGTCTCCTGCCAATGAAGAGGAACGGAAATTGCACTCTCTGGATGTTAAGAGGGCGTTGCTGTTCTATTTGGGCAGGACCAAGTCTTTTCGTCAGTCTCCAGCCTTGTTTGTTGCTCACAGTATGCCCTCCCTAGGGAAGAAGATCTCTTCCCAGACGCTGTCCAGGTGGATTGTGGAAGTAATCAAGCTATGTTACGCTTTGGCTAAGAGACCTCTTCCAGGTCAACTTCGCGCCCACTCTACAAGGGCGGTGGCGGCTTCCACAGCTTTCCTGAGAGGGATGCCATTGGAGGACATCTGCAACGCTGCGGCTTGGGCTACTCCGCTCACCTTCGTGAAGCATTATGCCCTTGATGTCCGGTCTACTCGTCGTGTGGCGTTGGGTCGGTCTATCTTGCAGACGGCGCAGGTGTAGGGCCTCGGCCCCTCCTCCAGGTAAGAGTTATTGCTTGCTATTCTCCCAAGGGTGTGATGCACAGAGACCACGAAGAAGATAGACAGGTTGCTTACCTGTAACTGGTGATCTTCGAGTGGTCATCTGTGCATTCACACCACCCGCCCTCCTTCCCCTCTGCTCTCGGCCCTTCATCTTGTTTCTTTGAAGGCTGTTGGGCGGCGGTCAGAAGGAACTGGCGGGATCTGCGTGCCCCTCCTTGGTCATGCACAGTGGAGCCGGCGCGTGACCTGGGAGAGGCGCGAAAATCCCTTTTGCTAGCTATCGGTACCGAGAAGGTCAGCGCAGGCGCAGAGTATCCCAAGGGTGTGAATGCACAGATGACCACTCAAAGATCACCAGTTACAGGTAAGCAACCTGTCTTTCTGGCGTAAGCTTCTGTGAGTCAGAGCTCACTTCGTTAGATGCTTTGGAGTATAAACCCATCAAGCCTGATTTATATACATGATGGAAAGGTTTGGGTTGGGGGAATGTTACAAAGAGAGGCTTGTTCAAAAATAGATCCTCAGCCAGCAGGGATGACGGGTAGACTTACCAGGAGAAAGAGGAAGACCCAGGCTATGTCACCGGTGTCACACAGGAAGAGACATCATCACACTGTGACATCTCTGTGACACTTTGGCATTTGGGCAAAAACAGCTTCTACCATAGCTTTTACCCACATGCCAGAGCATCGCCCTGACGTCACTTGCGTGATGTCACTTCCTGTGCAATGTCAGCAATGTGGCCTGGGCCTTCCTCTTTCTCCTGGTAAGCCCTGTTGCCGGCCAGCTGATCAGTGTTGGGGGGGCTGGTGGCAGGGGACCCCCACATCCACTGGGGGACTGACAACTGGAATCCATTCTGAAGACTAATCAGTTCACTCAGAATAGGTGTGAGACACCCTCAACTGTTGTTACACAGGCAAAATGTAAAGCTTAGTGAAGGATGAAATGAGTGAGCAAGGGATCCCCGCTCCCTATTAAGTCCTGAGGAAACACAGTCTTGAATTTGTTAATGAATGCTAATTCAGCAGTGTAGTGTTAGATTCACCCCTTGAAGTTCCTTTGTCAGAGAACTGTAACTTTTAGATGAGTAGTGTAAAATTTGGAACAGTAAGGGAAGTTTGTCTCATCTCTGGCCCCGGTCACACGGGGGAAATTGACCCGGCCAGAGTGCGGCTTTTTAGAGCCGCACCAAAAGAGACACGCGGCGGCGGGATCAGACAGATCCCCTGAGCCGCCGCGCAGTTGCTCCCCGGCACGATCAGATGCCGGGGGGGAAGCCACGGAAGGGAGAGCGAGGCAGCTGGCTGCGCATGTGTGCGCATGCGCAGTTCGGCTGGGAGCCTCGACTGCTCCTGAAGACGGGCGCGCCGGCGATCCCATGGGCACTCTTGCTGCGGCGTTTCAGGTTGGTCCTACTATTCCCTTGGGGTTTTTTACTGCGCATTTTCGGCCTGAAGGGACGGATCGGGGACGGGTGCGTGCCGCTTCCCAGATGTTGTGTGTGATCGCGCCCGTTTGCTGCGCCTCCGATCCATCCCTCTTCCGGGCCAAAGCCTCCCGTGTGACCGGGGCCTCTGTATGCCAGGATTGCTGCAGGGAGGGGCTTAGCCTGCCAAATGTATTAGCACAGAGCTTTTGCTGACAACTCTGTTGATCAAGTATTCCCAACCTTTTTGAGTTTGTGAGGACCTTTGGAATTTTGAGAGGGAGTGGTTAGCACTGCCCCAAAAATGGCTGCCTCAGGAGACAGAGCCAAATGCAGTACCTCTCTCCTCACACCTCCTGGGAAGAAGGAAAGCCTGAAGGGGGAATGGAACCACACATGACTAAGGAGACCCCAGGTGCTTACCAATCCTCCTGATCTTCCAGTTTGAACGAGGACAGCCAGTAATAAACCCCACCTGACAATGGCCATGCCCACTTTTCAAAAAGCTCAATAGTCACTAAGAGGAGTACTCACCATGGCACCCCCAGGCACCACACTGGGAAACCCTGCTGTAGATACAGAGGTAACCCAGTACATTTCCATCCGGGTGGACTGGGCAACCAGAGAAAGTTCTGGTGGGACTTTCTCCACAGCTTACATGCCAACGGCATGCACCAGACCATTCTGCTGGGCAGAAGTCCGCCCAAACAACCAAGGCACTGGCAGCAGTACTGAGGCCAGCAGTGTGGGGGAGGGCAACGGGCCTGGTTGATGCCCGTCATGGCTTCCCAGACCTGTACAGCCACTGGCCAAGTCCAAAATCAATCCCTGAGATATCTGCAGGTTCTCTGGGGTTTGGCCTGTTCCCAGTGTGTTTGACTAGCCAAGGGCAACTCTTGTCTCCCCCACTTGGTTTGCTGGTACATTAACATTGTCACAGGTAAACATTGCATTTAGGGGCACCTGGGCCAAAAAAGGTGGCTCACCCCTTGAAGATAACATATCAGAGGGCTTCATCAAACGGCCCATGGTCTTGTGCCAGGTCCGTTTGGGTTAACGTTGGCCCCAGCTGTTGAATTATTATTATTAAGGGAAGCTTTATGTGGAGGTATGGCTCACCATCATTCTTTAGGGATACATCTTCGTTATGGTACGTTCTTTTTCTTCTTTTGTAAAAACAACACCAAAAAAAACCCCCTGTAGTGTATGATAAATGTCATGTTTTATAAAATTAAGTTAGGAGGCAGTCATGCTAAAGCAAATGGATTCTTTGGGGAGTATGAACTGGGGAATCTTATTAAGGGGATGTAAAACAATTATTTATTTGTGTCGTTCTTGTCCCCTCTCAGGACTCTTTGCTTTCTGTGTGTCTTCCAACATTACAAGGTATTCCAGGCAATGGAATACCTCGAGGCGGCTTAATGTCGGGTTGTTATCTGGTTTGACAGTGATCTTTGTCTAATCAGATGTGTGTACGTTTGAGCTGCGTGTGCGAGTTTTTCCCCTCGGCTGCCCATGTCAGAGTGACAGTTTGATGAATTGCAGTGCTGCGTGAATGAAGGAACTCCAGAGAATCCAGTTATTACTTGACTTTAAAAAAGAAAACAGGATTAGGTTGCTGATGCACCAGACTGGGGGCGGGGGTGGGGGGGAGGGGACGGCCAATCACTGTCAGACATCCTGGGTCCCACCATGATTGACATGAAAAGCTCACTTCTTTTAAGCGGGACATTTGTATCTTAATAAGCATTCTGTTACCACAATTGGGGGACCCACCAGGACTTTTCACTTCCGCCACTATTGACTGTTGCCCTTCCCTGAAAGTCCTCATAGCCTTTTCCCCCTTTCCTTCTTTCCTTCCCACTCCCCACCCAGCTTACCTTTTATCACTTGAACACATAAAGCTGCCTTACACTGAATTAGACCATCTGTCCATCAAGGTCTACTGTGATGGGCAGCAGATCTCCAAGGTCTCAGGCAGAGGTCTTTCACATCACCCACTGCCTGGCGGTTTTAACTGGAGATGCCAGGGATTGAACCTGGGACCTTCTGCATGACAAGCAGACGCTTTGCCAGTGAGCCACGACCCCTCCCCATCTGCCTCCCTGTCTTCCGCTTTCCCTCCTTCCCTCCCTGTGGGAGCTTCTGTCTGGAAAAACTGGCCCAGTTTCGTGGTTCCAGCTGTTGGGCTGGGTCCAGTTGCATGCTGGGGAGCCTGTATGGACTCACAGGGGGGGGGGGACTTCATAACCTCTGTATGCATTTCCCACATTATTTCCTCTCTCTCCTTATGGTAGCCCCGTATCCTCACTTTTCCCTGCCTCCGTTTCTCCTTCCCGTCTACCAACCAACCTCCTTTTATCTGTCCCCCTCCCCCATCCTCAGCTGTGTTATTTATTTACTTCTTTTATTTATTAATTATGTTTATATCCCGTCCTCCCCGGGGACGGGCTCAGGGCAGCTCACATTTGTCGGCATAGTATAGCCGGTTAGCATAAAACATTTAAAACATTTAAAACCAGTTAAACAATCATACAGTATTACTTAAAGTGCTCGGTAGTCCATCAGTAAGTTAAGGTAGCATACTGTGAGATGACATACTAAGATCCCGACTTAGTAGTATTCCAGTCTCCCACGACAGGGCCAGCCCCCACCAGAGATGTTATTGATAGTAATAGTTGGTGGTCATGGAGGGCGGCTCCTAGTTGAAAGCCTGGTGGAAGAGCTCTGTCTTGCAGGCCCTGCAGAACTGCACAGGGTCCTGCAGGGCCCTGATCTCTTCCAGGAGCTCATTCCACCAGTGAGAAGCCGCCACTGAAAAGGCCCTAGCCTTGGTAGCAGCGAGCCTGACATCCTTAGGGCCTGGAACAATTAGTCGGTGTTGTAACCGCGACTGTAGGGCTCTCTGGGGTATGTATGGGGAAAGGCGGTCCTTCAGGTAGGTTGGACCCTGGCCATATAGAGCTTTAAAGGTAAGTACCAGCACCTTGAAGCAAATTCGGTATGCTGTTGGCAGCCAGTGCAGTGCCTTCAGCACCAGCCGGATGTGAGACCCTTCAGGAGCCTGGCTGCAGCATTCTGCACTAGCTGCAGCTTCCGGATTAGCGACAAGGGCAGCCCCATGTAGAGAGTGTTGTTGTTGTTGTTGTTCAGTCACACAGTCGAGTCCAACTCTTTGCGACCCCATGGACAAGATCTCGCCAGGCCCTCCTGTTTTCCGCCGTCCTCTAAAGTTTGCTCAATTTCATGTTCGTTGCATCTATGACACTGTCTAACCATCTCATCCTTTGCCGTCCCCGTCTTCTTTGACCTTCAGTCTTTCCCAGCATCAGGGTCTTCTCCAGTGAGTGCTCCCTTCTCATTTGGTGGCCAAAGTATTTGAGCTTCAGTTTCATTATCTGGCCTTCCAAGGAACAGTCAGGGTTGATTTATTTTAGGATTGACTGATTTGATCTTCTTGCAGTAGTCTTATTTCGAGGTGACCATCGCATGGATCACTTTAGCCAGGTCCTCACGGTCGACAGAGCTGGCCCGAGGTTTTTTTGTGCACTGGGCAAGGCTAACTTGTGCCCCCCCCCCAGGCGAGGCTGCCTTGAGGCACCCCCCCTCTCACAAGCAGCTTTAAATGAAATGGCACTACTCCCCATAAGAGGCCACAAAGAGGCTCCCCATGAGGTTGCATATTGGGGGGAGGGATTGGCTTCAGGTTATGAATGGGCCTACTTTCTCCTTTGAGGACCAAAGACAGTCCCTCCAGGGTGTCTGTCTGGGTGCTAAGACTTTGCTGCTGCCCGGGCAAAATGGGTGGCTTGCTCTTGGCACTGAACGTCTTTGTGTGAGCAGAGGTGTTAACTGTGGCCATCATTCCATACCTCTGCAGACCCCTTTCCCTTTTCCAGGTGCTTTGTGTGGGCAAAGCACAGAAATGAGCTTTTGGTTCCCTCCTTCTTAATGATATCCCCAGTGACAGTATTGGTCCTGCTTCCAGTGCTGTGTGTTTACAGGTTTTTAATCGAAATTTTATAATTTCAGTTGTATTTTTAATTGTTTTAATGTCCGCCGCCTTATGGACCCTGATTGGGTGGAAAGGTGGCATAAAAGTGTTTTAAATAAATAAATTATACAATGAACTTAAAAGGAGAAGGTCGTGACCATAGAGTAGAGGTAAGGCAGTGTCTCAGTAGGGGTTATGGTTGAACCGGGAGCAACAGGTTGGTCAGACTGAGGAGCCAGACTAGATCGAGTCAGTGCTTCTAGACTGCTAGATGGAGCCCTTTTGGTTCCTTGGATTACATGATTCCTGCTTTCTGAAAGATGTAATACAAAATACAAATGGTGCCAGTGGTGGTGCTTTAATGCCAAAGTGTTCAGATCAGCAGTTATGTAGATTTGCCGACTACTGTGGTGGTACTAGGAGTACAGCGCCTGGACCCTGCTGCCAGGTTTCGAAGTTCAAGACCCCTGGGACCCCTTTGGTTGTTGTACCACAAATGCAAAAGCCACGGCAGCTGTGTGAGTGAGCACCTGGCCACATACCTCTTAAGGATGAAATCAGGAAGGAACATTTCTTTTGAATACATTTCAGTTTAAAATACAAATGGGGGGAAAAATGCCCTCGTGTGGGTGGGTAGAGGGAGGAGGAGGAGAGGATCCTTTTGCATGAACAAGAGGTTCCCTTTGATACTGTCTCTCATCAGAAAGTGTATGTGCAAGACGCTGAACAATGTTAACAGAAATTCTGTCTCTTAGTTGTATCATAGTTGAGAGCCAGTTTGGTGTAGTGGTTAAGAGCAGTGAACTCTAATCTGGGAGAACCGGGTTTGATTCCCCACTCCTTCACATGCAGCTGCTGGTGTGACCTTTGGTCAGTTGCAAGTTCTTTCAGAGCTGTTCTCTCAGGAGCAGTTCTCGAAAGAGCTCTCTCAGCCCCACCTACCTCACAGGGTGCCTGTCGTGGGGAGGGGGAAGGGAAAGGAGAATGTAAGCCGCTCTGAGACTCCTTCAGGTAGTGAAGGGCGGGGTATAAATCCAATCTCCTCCTCCTCCTTCTATGTGTTAGAGGTAGCTAGCATGGGAAAGTACAGGAGGCAAAGCAAAGATGATGGGGTGCATCCAGGCTAAATTTTCCACTGATGGAAGTGACTTCTGTCACTGGGACAGAACTTTCCTGCCTTCTCACTCCTGCAGCAGCCCATGAATCATCCCAACATTCTACTTCGAAGGGACAGGGAACTCTCGGGAATGGGAAAAGGTGCAAATGAGAGGTCTGCGGCAGGAAGGGGGAATATGTGGAAATTACACTTCTAATTGGAGATGCTAGAGACGGAACCTGGGACCTTCTACAAACCGAGCAGATGCTCTGCCATTTAAGCCGTGGCCTCTCTCCTCCAACCTGTGGGCCATACCGGCCTGGGATCCTTGATGCCTCAAGAGCCGTTGTGATGTTATGGTTAGAAGGAAGGACAGGGGATCCATGGACTCTCTCATGAGCTCTTTGGAGGAAGGGTAAAACTCTAAAAAATCTAAGAGGGCAGAGAGCCAGTGGAATTCCAAAGCTTGGCCTTTCAAGGTTTTGTCTGAATGCCACCATGCTTTCACCGGGAATATCCGCGTTACAAATTCAGACGTGGATCCTTTCCTCATGCAGGTGACTCAGGTCCCTGCCACACGGCAGAAAAAAAAACACGGGCAAAGTGCGACTATTCAGAGCCGCACCAAAAGAAACATGCGGTGGCAGGATCACACAGATCCCCTGAGCCGCTGCACCGTTGCTCCCCGGCACGATCAGATGCCGGGGAGGAAGCCACCAAACGGAGACTGAGACAGCCGGCTGCGCTTGTGTGCGCATGCGCAGTTCGGCCAGGAGCCTCGGATGCCGGGGAGGACACGCCGGCGATCCCACGGCCACGCTTGATGCGGCCTTTCTGGTAAGTCCACCTCTGTAGGTGGTTTCTTTTAACTACGGATTTTCGGCCTGAAGGGCCGGACCGGGGACGGGTGAGCAACGCTTCCCAGATGTTGCGGTGGGATCGCGCCCATTTGCTGCACCCCCGATCCGTCCCTCTTCCGTCCCTAAACCTCCCGTGTGACCGGGGCCACCGTTACCCCTTCCCTCATGTCTCTGGAGCTGCAACCCCAATCATGAATGCCTCCATCTTGGTTTGGCTTCCTGTTTCCAGGGGAGTCGTCTTGAATGCCCTGCTCTGGCAAGCAAGCAAGCAAGTTTGTGCTTGTCACCCCGACAAGGGGGAAATTAAAGTTACAGGTGTCTCTAACACAGATGCTAATCTGGCCTTTATGAATCATGACGGATTAGACTGGTGAGTTGTACAAAGCCGGGGAGATCAGTGCTGAGTGAAATGTGCCACTGGAAAAAAAAACAGCCGGAGGCAGATTAGCACCTTAACGAGTGGAATGGAAGAATTATGGATTTGCCATCGCTAGTTCCTCTTGGCCTCTGTCAGCACATAGTTTTAGAGCTGTTAATCTTCTTTAGAAGGGACACATGACCTAAACTTGTGTTTATCCAACTGATCTGTATGTAATGTTATGGCCTCAGTGTGGAATTCAGCGGCTGGCTCAGGTCCATGCACACAGAAAACAAGTTTCTAGTCCAAACCGGGAAAGACTGTGGCACAACAGTAGAGCATGTGTTTGTCTTGCAGTCTCAGTCACTGAAGAGATCTTAATTATTCACGAAGCTGCCTTATACGGAATCAGAGCTTTGGTCTGTCAAGGTCAGTATTGCCTACTCTGACTGGCAGCGGCTCTCTAGGGTCTCTGGGTGAGATCTTTCACATCGCTTGCTGCAGATGCCAAGGATTAAGCTGGGACCTCCTGCATGCCAGTTAGGTATTCTAACACTAAGCCAAGTCTTCACCTGGGGTAACAGATGTTGTTGCTGTCCAAGAACCCGGAGAGCTAAAGGATAATAAAGTAGGCATCAGATGAACTTCCAGAGGGAGGGCATTCTGCTAATGAAGGGCCACCACTGAAAAAGCCCTGTCTCTGGTTGCCACCTACCTCAGCACCATAGTTGGAGGCACACAGAGTCAATCCAAGATCTTATTTGGTAGATAGGATAATATGG